ATCAGTTGGATATGCTGCTAGAGCAGCTGGTAAGGGAAACACTAGAAACGTGAAATTTAAACTGCGGCTGTAGTAAGTCATGTTCAAATAGTCTTTAGTTTAGAATACGTGTGTCGCACAAAATCCACTTGCTCCAACGGAAGCAGGAGTAGTATTTGTATTCACTGATGTTCCCTGTACAGAACTATGCCAAAGCGCAAACTTACGATCAGATGCTCAAGTCATCACAGAAACGCTTATCACAAGGCAGCGTTTCATCATGAAGATTATGTTTTTGAGCGACGGTACATCTGAAGCAGGTAATTCTTTGCGGGATTCTTTGCTACGAAAGGTCAATTGTAAGTCAATTATTTGATTGTAAAAGTGTTTCAAAAAAGCCATAAAACTATGTTACAACCTCTCCTGAATGGAAAATGAAGTAGTATTTTTTATTGGAGTTAAACTAAATCAGTGATCTGATTCCATACTCAGAAAATACGTTAACGAAGAACTCGGGTTCATCACTAATTTAAGTTTGCACTTTAAGCAGTAGTTGGCACAGAATGAAGGAGTAGGGAATAATTTTGCTTGCACTTTCCCTCCACTCCTCCGCTCCACCCCGCCCTAAAACATCCTCCGTCGCTGAGAAGAACCTGAAAAATTTTATTGACCAACAAACCATATTTTCTTCTTGTTTTCTTCCAATTAAAATCGGTTCTTTTACGTACAAACCTTCTCATCAGGCGGTTCCGAAATAAGCCGAAATGCTATTATATTTCCGTATAGTAGTAACAAAAGAAAACTACATTGTGAATGTAACCTCTAGTGCTGTGGAATATGAGATTGCGCGTGACGAGGCTACGATGTGTAGGGTAGGCCAAAAAAATGCAGACATTTTCCTCATTTTGTAAATGTGTATTTAAAAGGCCTCAGCTGACCCGGCCGCGTTTCACTGCTTTTGGCTTCGCATAGGCATGGACCTTTTCCTTGCTCTCCGAAAAAAAAACATTTCGAAAAAGTTTTTGTTAGGCTTGCTGTCATCATCACATTTGAATTTTGAATGGTAGTTCCATTGGAAAGATTGGCTAGGACGATGGTGAATTGCGGGCCTTAAAGAACATAATTATGCCTCTTATACTCATGTGAGCATCGTACTTTGATTTCAATCTATCTTACTCGTTCTATATCATTTCTGAAATTTTTAAGCTGACGATATACTACATCAAAAGAGCGTAATTGAAGCTTTAATCTTAGGATCAATAAGTAATCTGAAAATGATTGAAACAGAGAGCTTACTTGTGAGCTCAGAATTACGTTTTTTAAGGCCCTAGTTTGTAAGAGATTTTATTTGAAATTTTTAGATTGCGCTCACAATCTCTTCACTGCATGTCATAGCATGAGCCCAACTCTATGCGATGTTGGTGTGTACGGTAATCAAACAACGCAACTAAGTG